TCCATCTGGCTCAGGGCTATCAGTGGAGGTCACTGCCACTCTAATAGTTATTTGATGAAGGAGTTATATCGATATTTTTTGCATTCAATGCCCTTTACTTAACCTCATTATACTATCATCAGGTTTAATAGCTAATTACCAAGGGTATCCAAATTGTATTAATACTGACCACTAGAATGGATGGATTATAGCTCTTGTGCCATGACTTCCCAGAGGCATTGTCCACAGGTTTAAGTTTAGAAAGGGCGGTTTTGTCACCAACAGGACAGAGGAGGTTGTGGTGGGTGGGACACACCAACAGGATAGAGGAGTTAGTGGTGGGTGGGACACACCAGCAGGATAGAGGAGGTTGTGGTGGGTGGGACACACCAACAGGATAGAGGAGGTTGTGGTGGGTGGGACACACCAACAGGATAGAGGAGGTTGTGGTGGGTGAGACACACCAACAGGATAGAGGAGGTTGTGGTGGGTGGGACACACCAACAGGATAGAGGAGGTTGTGGTGGGTGGGACACACCAACAGGATAGAGGAGGTTGTGGTGGGTGGCACCCGATGATGGACAGGAACATGGGGAGACCTAATTCCAGATTCTGGGACACTGTAAGATTTGACATTGGTGGTTGGGTGTCGACCATTTAACAGCTTGGGATCTGGCGTAAGAAGGAACTGCTGGACTAGGTGTGGTGGCATCAACAGCATTAGCCACGATCACCCCCTGACATTGAGTGTTCGAGGAGGACTCACCTTGATGGTCATTGAGCAAATCAAATCTTCACAAGATGAGCATGGTCGAGCCGGATTACTACTTAGATGAGAGACTGCCTGAGCATACCCAGTGTTTGAGACTAGGGCTGCGAGGTGGTCAGGAAATGCCAGTACAGCACAGCATTCTTATAAGTGTGTATCATCACTCGTATGTGTAGGTTTCCTCCAGGTGCTGTGGTTTCCTCCCACGTGCCAAATGCTAATTCACGACATTTGGCCAAACGTCCTAATGCAGGGCCTGCCTGCTCATCTCCTGAGACTCAGTGAGCTTTCAGTCGGTAAATATTTGATCATACGATAGCCTTTATAGTTCCTAAAATATGCCTTTGTGTGCCAATTGCCTTCATTGGAATAATAATAAAAAGCACACTTTGTAGGTACTAGATACAATAATAACAAAACATTTAAATTTGATAACATAGCTTTTGGAGAGACATTGAATTTTCTAGAAAGTTATTTACATAAGTACTGCATGTGTATATTCGTTTGCATATTTTTCAATTTCCCACATTCCTTCCGACATTTTTTTTTAGCACAATTGAAAATATAAAATTATATTTGTCCTCGAAAAAATTCCACTCCGCCATAGTCATATCCCGTCATTGACGATGCAAGGGCTGTCCTTTAACATGGTCACATGGACAGCATGCCTCTTATATTCTCTATGGCACACTGTTAAACAGCTGTTTTACAACTTATTAAAACACTGTGTTTGTGTTGGAATGCTAATATCTGTAACGCCACACACTGACAAGGCTCACTTACGATCGACTAACTTTTTATTAAAAAAAAATGATGCATTGTCATACTACGAATGCAGTGTCCAAGAAATATAATTCTTGATTTGTATATACTGCGGCAATGTTTGCTGAAACGAAATAAATTGAACGTTTTAAGTGTTATCCCATTACTTAAACAATTTCTGGGCAGCGTTCATCTCTGTTGGTGGTCCTGAGACAGCGAAACAAATAAATAAATAAAGCATTCCCACAGTGGGGACCAGTCTGTCCATAGGACACCCTCTGTTGACTTGCTACAAAGTGGCATTCATAATATAGGCCCCCAGAGGGAGACGGGCTGAGTCGACCTTTGACCAAGATTAGAACTGGGAACCTTCTGATTGTGAGTCAAGACGCACCAAGCCACAGCGCCACCCAGCTGGATAAACAGATATCAACATACCAGTCACGAGAAGAGGCCATTGTGCACCACCATCATGGCCCGAACGCCAGGTTTCAACGTTACCCACAGCCAGGATAATGACCGACGCAAGTTGGTTCGTTCACATGTCCCTTGATAGAGAAATAATTGGCGATCGCCATAGGCGAAAATGAAGATTTAAGATGGCAACAATGCCTTCGTTATAACAAATAAAGACCGAATGGGGTTTTATTGTGTCGCTTAAATGAGCGTAGGTCATTAAGGATGTGCTTATCTCCTATTTACAGCCCTGAGCCAGTGGCGAAAATTTTTACACACGCCTCTGGCAGGGGTGAGGTCATATACGGGCAAACCACTGTTGACTTCCTCACAAATCGGTACTCACTTTCTCGACCCTGGAAGGATGATGGTGCCGAGCCAACACCGATTGCGAGGTGCTCGATTAGAGTCACCCAAAACGGTTTCATTACGAAATGCTACCTCAAGTATTGTTACCGTCGGCATTTCGTGATTAAATTTGAACCATCTGTTTTACTGGACTCTAGGGTAAAAGATTTAACTGTTTTTTTTTTGTTCACGCCAAACTGACAAAAGAATGGCTTGTTGGCATGCACACACACACACACACACTCGTTGACTCAAATGAATTATAAATACATGTGGCGCTGCTTTATGCAATGTTCCCCGTCGTCTATTAACCAAACAAGGGGGGTTTGATTCGCGTGTGGGCAAATGTTCCACTTTTTCCCAAAATCTTTTTTGCAGAAATCGATCCGATCCCTCCATAGTCAACGAGGCAATTGGCCGAGATGACGGGTCTCTGCTATTTCCTCAAAATGAGAATCAGAATCTCCAAGCGTTTCTCTATTGCGTTCCCTTTAACAATCATCGCTTTGTGACTGCTCAATTTTACCCTTCTTGTTCGAGTCCATTGCACGGAGTTCATACTTTTGGTACTTTGGTACCAGCTCATATCATTGTAAAGAAACTGTCTCCACGATCGGTGCATGTCTCCGTTGGTTATGCCCAAGTCACCCGCGGAAATTGCGCATTCTTATGGCAAGGGTCAGTCTATCCATCAAGTCAAAGTCAACGTGATTTCCAGCTCAAATCAGCATTGAGGTCGTGCATATCTCCCCCGTAAGAGCTGGGAGCCCGTGGTGGAAATTCCCACATTCATCTCGCAAGGAGCGGTCTCTCCATAGGACAAAGTGAACTTCCCACCAAGTAGTACTTGATTTATCAACCCTGAACAAACAACATGATGGGCCGAGTCAATCCCGATCCAGGATTTCAACTTGTAACCTTCCAACAGCGAGTTGAGTGCTCTGACACCTGCGTCATTGCCCTGCTTTGTGTACACATTCATACTCTGTGCATCACACACAATCGCGCACACACGTTATCATGGATACATAAAGGGAACTGTTACATACCACGGGTTTATAGTTATGCGATCTAACCCAAAATTATCCCCAATTGTGGATAATATTGGTCGCAAAAGCCCACGTGTAAAACTGTTATATAGTTTCGAATTACCATACAGAATACATATACAAACATGCAAAGCTCCCTTTAGTGTAGATCGAGGCAAGTGCTGACGATGACGAGCGAGCACCTTTAAGGGGACTTGCACAGGGCACGCTTAAATTGCTCTCTCGCCACTGTTGCTGCCAGAATAAGCGCCGTTTGCAAATTATCCATTAAGGAGGACGCACGCACACACACACACGACGTCATGAACAAATACATTCACGTGAGCATGATTCATTCATACTACGTGGCAGTTCTGTGCACGTAATGCAGCTAACTAATTACTTCGTTCAAAGTTGCAGCCGGGCTCACAGAACGCACGCGGACGCGTTTCGCCGTCTGCCGTGACTCGTCAACACACACAGATGGACATGTGTAGGAGCAAAACAGAGCGCTTCGTTGCTCATCGGATTCCTCCAGTCGACATCCGTGTCCCCTCGTGGAGCGCCTGGTCTTGTTAGCGAACACTCAGGCCAGCACGCCACGCCAGACGGTGTTGTTTGGCCAGCACCACGCCTGGCCGCCTTTGTCTCCCTCCGGTACCGCCGTTTATCACGACACTCCGAGGACTCGTTCCATGCTGAGTTGACCATGATAAGTGAGAGTACAGTCCCGTGTAGGATCACCAGATGCCACTTTCAAGGTTTGTAGCAGAGTGCTAAAAACGAGTGCCCGCCCTCCCCACGCACACAAAGACAAACATCCCCCGTGTAGCCTTAACAGACTGTAGAGGCAAGTGCTGTTAGCGAGCACCTATTAAGGCCTGCACGGCGCACCCAGGGGATGGGTGGTCAGAAGCACGCCCGGCCGCCTTACGTCTCAATAGTGGCTGTGTTTACACACCGCAATAGGCACTCATTCGAGGCCGAGTCGACCTAGGGGACGCTCAGGACGGGTTCCAAACATCGTCACTGTCATTGCCTGCGGACAGGGATCGAACTCGGGTTGCCAGGCTCGAAGCGCGAGAACCACTGCGCCACCGCTCCCCCACACAGAGACGCACAGAGACGCACGCGTACAAAGGTGTCACATTTAACGCCGCAGTCTTTCGGCAATTCAAAAGGTGTCAGTGTTGTTGAATTGGGATGATACGGCCAGCCACTCACTCTCGTGTGCATGTCTGCGATCCTTAACAAGATGTCTGAACCAACTTACTATCAAGAACACAAGAAGGACAAATATAAAGATCCCCCGTATAGCCTTAACAGACTGTAGGGGCAAGTGCTGTTAGCAAGCACCTATAAAGGCCGGCACGGCAACACCACGCCCGGCCGCCTTTGTCTCCCTAGTGGCGATGTTTACACATCGCACCAGGTACTCATTTGAGGCTGAGTCGACCTAGGGGAGGCCCAGGACCGGTTCAGGTTAACAGCCACCGGTGTTGGCCGCGAGCAGGGAATCGAACCCGGGTCGCCAGGTTCGTAGCGCAGCGCGCTAACCGCTAAACCACCGCTCCCCACAACACACAGGCACACACACAGACGCACACTTACGAAAGAGTTTCCGCTCCCGTTCGCCGTGAGAGTGGTGCAGCACATACCCAAACTCGGCTCTGCTCCGTGACTCTGAAGCGCCGCAGTCCAAACCCAGCGCGTGGCGCAAAGGAAACCAGAGCCAGGGACAGCCTCCCACACGCGTGCGTGCGTTCGTGTGTGAGCGCCGACACGAGGCTGAGCACGGCTGCGAGTTTAAAGCCCTCCTACTCTTCCTGCCTTCCTCCCTCCTTCCCTTCCCTCCCTCGTTCCCTTCCTAGCTCCATCCCTCCCACCTTAACCCCCTCGCTCCCTTCCCTACCTCCTTCCTTCCCTCGCTCGCTCCATCCCTCCCTCCTTCCCACTCTCTCGTTTTTTTTTACGATCAGAGGAAACAAGAAGATGCTCGCGGTGTCGTCGGCACTTTGCTTCGTTCATAATTTCGGGTTTTTTTCTCCCACTCTCGCTCCATCCCTACCTCCTTCCCTCGCTCGCTCCATCCCACCGCCCTCCCACCCTGCCCTTCCCCGCACGACGTTCGCTAAGCCAAAGGGGGCTTCTTGCGAGCGAGAGTTCAGCGTCTCGACCAATAAGAGAGGCGAGAGACACAGAGGCACGGAGTGAAATGTGGAATAAGGATAAATGCAATTTCTGGAAACGGACCCAAGCTTGCGTGTCCCCAGCGACCAAGAGAGTAAATCGTGCCCATTGTGTGCTTCGCAACGCATTGTCGCTACAGCGTTTCTGAAATGAGTGGGCATTATGGAGTCAATCAATCGCTTATAAAGGGTGGGGAGGGGGCATTTTTTGTTTTGTTTAAGGAATGCCCAATAAAATTCTCCTCCATAGACAGAAAGGAATGCACTGTGCTTATGCATTCCTGTCTGAGCCTCTGCTGTTTTCCTGTAGGGTTTTGCAGTGGGTACTCGATGTTGGGTTACTCACTATTTAACTTTAGTTGGGGATTTTTGTTGTGTTATCAGCAATGCTTTTTTTTTGCTATCGGATTGTCAACTTCAAACTATTTTAAAAGCCCGGCGTTCCATTTGTTCGTTAACTAAATGATAACAGCCTTTCAGAAGGCTTTAATCAAAAAGTTATAGCAAGTGGACCCCCACCCCAGATGTGGGGGTAGAATGTTGAAAGTTGATCCAACAGGGTTACAAAAATTATCGACCCCTGCCAACCCACCCCCCCCCTAAAAAAAGAATGCCTCCTGTAGGCATATATACCTACACACTCTACATATACACCTACACACTCTACATATATGCCTACACACTCTACATACAATAGAGTCCAGATGTCTTCGTGGGCAGGAGCTGGAATTTCGGCGGGCCGAAATTCTAGTATTTTAAATGGGAATATTGAAGTATCAGATGGTGCTGTGATGGCGTGCGCAACTCACAATCATCGACAACCGTGGACAATCCTCTCCTGGATGAAGGCCTTACCAAACCCGCACCTTCTCTCACTTATCCTGCGATGTAACAGTCCAGCCTGCACCTGCACACGGGCTGATTCCATCGCTCCATTACCACGGTGAACGTGCTCTCATTGGCCTAGAACGTCGGCCACGTGGCATACATCAGCCCATCTTCTCTTAAACGTCCGCTGTACTTTCTCTAATGCGAGCGTTCCTCTTTCCGTCTCTCGATGTCACCGCACGCGTGCATCACCTCCCTACTCTGGTGTGCAGCTTTAAAGTTGGCATTAACCATTTATTTGTTATTGGCCAGGTTTCTGTGGAGTGCGTCTGGCGTAGCGGGTAGCACGCACCGCTCAAACAAGTCACCACGGTGGTCCTCGTCTCCACTGGTAGCCCTGGGCCAGTGGTGGAAATTCCACGTTCTAATGGCTGATGGTCGGTCTCTCCACAGAACAACCGCCGATGACTTTCCCACAAAGCGATATGCATTTTACCAGCCAAATAACCTCACTCACTGAATACAATACAAACTACGATTCGGTAACTTTGGACAATTGGGCAAATCTATGACGAAAGTACCTACCCTTGAAAATGGTGTGATAAAAGTGTAAAATATTCACATTACAACAAAAGCTTTGCTGAAAATAAAACGACTGGATATTGCTGTTTATCATGTGCATGGTGTGGCATGAATGATGACTGTTTAGCAAAATCTAATTTAATTCTGACACAGACTAAAACAGATCCCTTTCCATTGGACGAAATATACACACGATGCGTCCTTTGCAATTTCAAACTCATGCTGTCATATTGAATATCATGACAATTTATCATTTTCATAATGATGTACAGCACTACACTGGAATTAAATCTGAGGGATACAAGTGGGCTTGGGGTACTTATTTAAATAAACTATTTTTTTTTCATCACTGCAATCAGGTTTGAATCGCTGTAATTGCCTGACGTTGAACATGTACTGTAGTCCAGCTTGCAGTGCCATTAATTCTCAGACTGATAAATTGAAACGATTCTTCCATTTGTTAAATCTAAACGTTTAAATTTCACAAGCACAAGATAAAATACATCTACATTTAAAAGTTAGACGGGTGTTTATTTTCAGCTGGAAATTAAATAAGTGGCGAGAATTTTTTTTTTAAGTCAAGCAAACTGGACACCCATGCTTTCTGGTTCCAGTCTAAATTTCTGATTGCCCAAACAGGCAATAGAATCAAACTTTTTATTTATCCTTGAGAAATCCGATAAGTTTCGAAGATATTTTTCACAGACGTACAATGGGGCTCATACTTTAAGGTCGAGCCTGAGACAGTTCTGGAAATGCCATGTTGATTTTCTGGGGACAAGTCTCTACATGCCCCCAACACAAAATGTCACATTTCAGACTTGCAATTTGGATTCAATAATTATTTTTAAAAATTATACCTTGGTGAACGCATCAACCACCAGTAGTGCCTCGAGCGGTCACGAGAACCCATTACATACAACAAATAAAAAAACACAATGATTCGTGCAGATGTGATTCTATCAATGATTCGATCATTCCACCCCTGCTGGTGCCGCGGTGGTGAGATGTTACACACCTCGCCTAGCATGCAAGAGGGGTCGTGGGTTCGATCCAGAGGCTGACGTCTGTATATTTGGAGTTAACATGTTCTCCCCGTGGTCGCGTGGATTTTTCTCCGGTCCTACGGGTTTTCCCTCCACATTTAGAAACATGTCGATTATTTGGCTGCGATAAATTTCCACGAGATAAACCACTTCATTGGGGCTATCATTTGTGGCCAGGTCGCTCCTGAAAAAGAGCTCAATAGCTCAGTGGGGCTTATCTCGTAAAATAAAAGAATATAGTTTAGCGTATATTTTTTCCACTATTGCAGACATTATTCTATCTCCCTTGACACCTGTCACAACGGTCAGCGATCGTCCATTAATGCTGGCATGGCACGTGATGGAGGAGCAGCACCAGCGCCATTCCTGACCATCTTTTGTCTCCAGCACTGACGTAAACGCACTTGAGAAAGCGATTGATCACGAAGAGAGACCCAGCCCACTTCGGATACCTATCGTCACTGGTGTTGTGCATGGCCTAGGATTGAACTTGGAATAATGGGATCGTAGTGCAATGTACTCACCCAGGGGTGGGCAACCAAAATAACAAGAAGAGCCATTTTATTTTCGAATGCGGTAAAAAAATAAACTAAAAACTCACTCTTTCAAGAGCCTTACTGCACGTGAATACCAGGCTGTCCTTAATAAATAACGCCACGAAGCAGTCCTTAAAGAGCGGTTCTGGAGCCCTGTGCTTTCCACGACAACAACAACAACCGCCATTCGCCACTATGTGGCGGTGACGTCACCAGGGCGCTTGTACCAGGCTACGTGCACTTTGAGGCCACGTGAAGCGTCGAACACCCGCTGGCAGGAGGTCACGGGACAGACTCAGGTGCTATGGGTTGACTGACGGAGATGACTGGCCGATGCACCACATTGTGATGTTGATGTAGTGGCTGCACGCCCACATTAAGATGAAGACAAATTTCCCAAGTGTAGGCGACACAGCTGGTTAGGCAAGTGCTGTTCGTGAGCATCTATGAGAGCCGACACAGCCGACCTTGTCTCCCCGATGTTGATGTTTACACATCTCACATCAGGTGCCCATTTTTAAGGCTCTGTTGATTTTGGGGAGGCTCAGGGCCAGTTCTGATATCAACCACTGATTGCTAGCTGTGAGTGGGAATCGAATTTTGGGACAATGAGTTCATGGAACAGCGTGCTAACCACTACAATGCCAATACCGGCCCTTCGCCGCTAATTGACGGTGACAGCACCACGGCGCCTGTGCCAGGCCAGGTGCACTTTGAGGCCACGTGAAGTGTCGAGGGCTCCTTGACAGGAACTCTCGGGACAGACCCAGCAGGTGCCATGGGTTGACTGACTGAGATGACTGGGAGATGCACCAGCTGTACCCCCTACTGTGCCAACTTGCTGCATTTTAGCCGCACGGTACTCCGCTCGTTGTTGTGAGCGTCGCTCCTCCGCCCTCCGTTGTTGTTGGAGGGCGACTGCCTCCAACTGCCCAGTAGCAGCGTCCTTCACGAGCCTGATCCATAGAGGCCGATATTGAAACCACCGGTACCATTCGTCGACATGTCCACTTCGCTCCACATCCTCCCGTACTGCATCAGTCCATCTCTTAGCCAGCCCATGTCGTACTCGTTTATCACCCTCTATACGGCCAAACAGAAGCTGCTTGGGCATGCGGTGGCTGGGCATGCGGGCTACATAACCCAGCCAACGCAGCCTTGCCTGCTGGAGGAGCTCACTGATGGGAATGTGTCCAGATCTTTCAAGGATTTGTGAGCTCTTCACAAAATCCAGCCTGGTTAAACCCAGGATGGATCGTAGGCATGCCAGTCTGAATGTTTCTAACCGGCGCAGATGTCTCATTGGATGGGTCCACGTTTCACAACGATAAAGATTGGAGGGCATGACTGTGGTCGAGAAGACCCGAAGCTTCGTGCAGAGTGACATACCAGGTAGCTTCCACACAGCGTTATGCAGCCGATGAAAATATAATGGCACCCGACTGATTCTGAGTGAGACCTCTACTGTCAAACCGGAGGTGGTCACAAGCACATTGCCCAGGTATGGGAAAATCTCAACTCTCCACAACTGCTCCATCACCAATGGGGAGCTAATGATGTGGAGTATTTGGTGACACGAAATACCCAAGCAGGTGCTTCGTTTTGGTGGGACTGATGGTGAGGCCCCATCTCTTAGTG